TCAATATTAATTGTGACAGTAACAAAGTAAAGCTATTTTTAAATCAGTTTTCCTTGCCAGTTCCCATTCAATTCCAAATGACATTTAACTCCAGCCACTCCAGAGGCTCTAAGTCAATTGGAAATGGTAATCCATCACTGTGAACAAGAAACTGCCAATCATATATCAGAGTGCTAATGTCAGGCTGAAAAACCTAGTTCACATTTTATACTCACACATTGGCAACGCTGTGAGAGATGAAATGAAACAGGAGGATGTATCAAACTTCTCATATATACTTGTCTGATTTCTGTATGACCCTCTCTCCAAAATAAACCATTAGACACCAAAGCAAATAAGAAGAATAGTGATGTATGAAATTATGACAAGAGGAAATAAACATTAACTATATTCTGGACCTGATCTTTAAAGACTTGTTCATGTTCTTTTTATAATGCCCTCACAATAACAAGTAGTATAAGTAATATAGTATAAACATAAAGTTGCTGTATGAAGCTGCATAATCTTAAACACACAGATTACCACACACAGTAATGAGTCATTTCATTTTTAATGAATAAAAATGCTTTATTGTCATGAACACTATGGGATCTCAGCAGACTAATGTCACTGAAAACTTTAAATCTGTGGATTTTGTTCTGGCATTGTTTGCGGGAGGTCACATGATCACAAAAATGATGTACAACTCACACTGTAAGATTTCATTAACTTAACAGACTAAAAAACTTTTATGACACAAGTTCCTCGAGTATATAAAAAGAGTTGGTCAAAGTGTGAAACAAATCAAACTGACAGGCAACTGACTTGAAGTTGACAGCCATTGAAACTTTTTATAGATCTAAATGCCCCAGAACACATATCTGTTTGTTACAGACCTCAGGACTCATTTGTCTGTGCTGTTACAGTCCTTATAAACCTTACATTTTTTACAGGGGAAATGTCTTAAAAGGAGTTTCTGAAAATCATTTTTCAGATGTAGTTAATGGAAATCTATGTACATGGTTTCTTGTAACAGATTCTATGCTTTATTTTCAAGTGTTTCAGCATCTATTATGTTCCAGTATAAAACTTGGTTCATTTTTTATAGAAGCTACTGCTGACGGAGGTGTAAAACCTCCAAACTCATTGAATCATCCCTCTCTCACTCTGTCTCTCTTTTCTTTTTCTGTCTCCCACTCTCTCTCCCTCTGTCTCTCTCTCGCTCTCT